AAACCGTCAATTTTTCAACTTCAAACTTATATCCTGTAGAAACAGCAATTAATGCCAAATAAACGTTTTTGAACAAAAGTGACTCATTTTCAGGTGAAGTGAACACTGAATAGTCATGCAACAACAATGGTTCGATGAACGGATTAACGAGATGTTCAACGGATGTCAAGAATGGAATATTTGTCACTTTTTTGTATCTAAAGTAATCAAATATTTCAGGGGGATAAATCAGGATTTCTGGTGCCTCCAATTTGAACTCGAATTTCTGGAGGATTTCGATAACAAACACAAACTGTTGGACAATTAATGAAATTAAGAATAGTAATGACAAGTTTACCATTACCTTCCCAAACACCCGATGCATCAATGACATTGTTAAATAAATAGTCTGTCTTTGTGAATGCATATTTAGATGTTCCAAGAAAATTATAAAAACTGTCATATGAAACAATATCATTTTCCGGAATAACTGCATCTTTAGACAAAATCCATGAACTTCCTCCTCCTGAACCTCCATTTTGATGATGACCTGCAAAGCCACCAAACCAACCCGATCCTGCACCAGGTCGATCACTCGCACCAGTACTTGTCTGAACTCCTTGAGGATTCAATGATTTTGTTTCTTGTGCTGATTCACCCGAACCAAAACTGAATCCAAATTTGGAATTTGATAAATATTTTGATTGATATTGACCGTTTAAAAACCATCCTTGTCCTTCTAAACCACCTGAACCTCATGTACCATCATCGCCTCCAAGAAGTGATCCATTTTTGCTATCAGCACCACCTCCAGCACCACTTACAATGACTCGATGCCAAAGATCATTTTTGACAAATTTGACAGCGGCTTGACCACCTCCTGAACCTGATCCAAAGAAATTAGATCTACGATACCAATTTGCAGCATACCCTCCACCTCCATAACCTCCTTCAATCATGTTTTCTTTTGCATAGCATTGTTTAGTGGCTTCTTCCTGAATTTTATAATCAAAAATTCCTCGACCTCCAATAGTAGCATATGAGATAGTTTCATTAGATAAATATATTGTGCCACTGATGTATGCGCCTGCACCACCAAGACTAGACTGTCGAAGACATTTAGTATTACCCTTAACAGATTCAACAATTTTGTCTTCAATACATGAACCATTAGGATATCGATATGATGATACATGACCAGTTGAACTTCCACCAGATGCACCATACAACTCAAATTTGTATACACCTGGTGAAAATGTGATTACGTAGTCTGTACAATCATTGTTGTTTTCACACGGATATTCGAAGACATACTTATTTCGAATTTCTGTGACTTTCAACTTAGCTTCATAATGACTTTCATTATACAATGAATATTTAATCATATATTACTTAATTTTATACTATAAAATATTAATTCTTTAAAAAAGTACTATAAACACACTTAATTTAATCAACCAAGCACTATGACCATACTCAATAATAACGAGTCAATTGTAATTTTTCAGCCAAGTCAAGTACTCATTTTCAATATTTAAACACAGATCATCAGGTCGAAAATCATTAGATAATGAATTTCTCCAATGGTGCGAATCAATTACTGATAGAACATCCATATTAAGGTTAAAAATAATGAAGAACTTTCTTGGTTGTATACCAATTTTTTTATAACGTACAAAAAAAATTACACATCGGTTTTAGGCAGGAATCGTTTTATTCTTGATTTGAATATATACCACTGATCAGAGCATAGTTTAGGTATTATTATATTGAGTGCATACATCCACTTATTAGTTATATATTTTATCGATCTAGTTTGGGCAAGAATAGGTCTTTATTTTGTGCTTCTTATGATGGAGATACGTTTTATAAGTGCTTCACGAAGCTGCCTTATCAGTAACAATTACTTGTTATTTTTGTCAATGCAAGGGATTGTTGCACACAAAGACAACCATTGTCTATAAGTGGCTGTCTTTGATGCAACTTTAAGAATAATCACAAAAGATTCTTCTCAAAGTTGCATTATCAGCAGCAATCACCTGTGTATACATAAATACCACGTGAAATCTCATAAACTAATTTTAATATTTAAGCCACTTTTGTGAAGTACTCTTATAGACCATCTGCAAGGATAGCTATAATTAGTTCCGAATCATATTGTATTTATTGAATTTTGGATTTCATAACATTATTTTTTGTTTTTCCAAGATCAATAATATGTAAAAAGGCTAGCTAACAATTCATCAGTCTGTGTTATTCCTGATGACTCTCAAATATCGATTCTTGATCCGGGAAACAAATTATGCCTATCGGCTGTTTATCAAAAATTGAGTTTGATATGATGTATGTTACTCAGTGAAGATTTTTTTATCTACGATCCTTCTTTTCCAATCAAAATTTGTGTAGTTTACAGGTGAGATGTCAAACAATAAAACAAATTTATTTCTAAATGTTTAGTAAAGAAGTCCAAAAGATCAAACTTTCGAAGAATTTTCATGACATCTGCTTATCGATTGGTGATTGCAAGAGTCGTGAATCCGAAGAATTAATTGTAACGAAATGGATGCAAGATGTAAGAAAAACATTATCAAAATCAAAGCTGTCTATATCAGAGCTTTATGAAAATGTAATTTCTTTAGTCCAACTTACCTTACTTGGCTATAACACAAGTTTCGGCCAAATTCATGCAGTAAATCTCACTCAAGATTCACAAATGATGACAAAGGCACTTGGCTATTTGGCATGCTCTGCACTCTTTGATTCCAAATCCGATCTTATTGTTCTTATTGTTAACTCTACTCAGAGAGATCTTTCTTCAGGTCATCCAACATCTATGGCTTTAGCCTTAACCGCAATTGCTCAACTTGTTACTCCTGAGCTCATTCAACCAGTTATCGGATTTATTGCTCAGTGCTTGAACCACACAGTCCCAATTATTCGTCAAAAGGCGATTATGTGCGTTGTATCCTTTATCAGGAAGGATCCTATGTGCGTTATTGATTTCTTCCCAGATCTCTGTCGTCTTTGCTCAGATCCAGATCTTTCAATTGTCAACGCAATCATTATCACATTTAGAAGCCTTCTTATCAACAAGCTCAACATTCGTCAGATCTGCGATATGTTACCAGACTTTACAAGAGTCGCCCAGTTAATTTTGGCCGGAAATTCCAAAGTCGAATACGTTCATCAACGAATTGGAGCTCCATTCGTTCTCATCAACATCTTCAGACTCATTCAAACAATCGCCGTTACAGAGCCAGGCATCAACGAAGCCGTTGAAGCCATTGTTACCTCCGCATTACAAGCCGGCACTTGTGAGTCTCCAGCAACAGCCGCTGTCCTCTACGAAGCCGTAAAAACAGCAATAGCTCTCGATCTTACAGAGATTCCTCAACTCCGCGGTGCAATTTCCTTATTTATGGGATCAAGAGAACAAAACTACAAATACATCGGTTTATCAGTATTATCGAGCATTCCTGACTTCGCCACTGAATTCCAGTCTACAATCATCGATTGCCTTGAGCATCCTGACCCATCAATTCGTCTCATTACATTGAATCTCCTCCACAACATGGCCTCACAAGACAATGCCCAAATCATTGTTGTCAACATGTTGAAATTCTTCCAGAGAACGAAGAACGAAGTCATCAGACGTGATTTATCCGAAAAAATCACCGATATCGCTTCCAAATATTCTCCATCTCCATTATGGTTTGCGAAAACAATGGAGCAACTGTTTTCTTTGGGCGGAGACTTAGTTAATCCTGATGTTGCATTCCAAGTCATGAGAATCATCGATGAAGAATGCGATGAAGAAATGAGGAGATCCATTGTCAATCTTTATTTGGATGTCGCACAATCCTCTCGCAAATTATCTGATGTATTTGTAACTGTCATTTCTCATGTCATAGGAAATTATGCCGAATTATCTGATGAATACGATTTATCCTTCATTATTTTGTTATTATGTGATTTGGCAGATGGATACGACAAACCAAGAGAATGGGTTTTGAACGCTATCCTTAAATTACTTCCAAAGATTGAAGATGTTCCTCAAGAAGTATTAGACGTATTCGAGAACTACAAACAAAGTAGTTCAATTATTGTTCAAGAGATCTGTTACGAAGCTTTCTCTTTGTTGAATTTCAAGGAATCATTGAGTATTGTTTTGGCAATGGATCAAGAGGAAGATCCACAATTATCATTCCTCGATGACTTAGTCAATGAATCCATTGCAAAAGGCGGTGCTCAATATATTCCTTTGGACGACAGAGATACAGATATCATTGTCACAAACAAACCAACACTTATTTACACTCCTTACGCTTCATCAACTCCAGGAAATATTTATTCCGCTGATGGAGTCAATGTTCAACAGAATTCTCAGCAAGATGAATCACAAGTTGATGATTATTCAGCATTGAACACTGTTGGCGTTGCTGCTGTTTGGGGACAAGATGGATTAGTCACTGAACAAACACAAGAAGAAGCAACACCAAGTTACAATGCTGATGGAATGTATAATACTCCTGATGCACCAAAGAAAGTTTCGATGTTCGCAAAACTTTCTGTTGCAGGAAAGAAAGCACAAAACAGCGACCAAGAGAAGAAAGAAAAACTCGCTGCTTCTATCTTCAAAGGTGCTAAACCAGTTGCTAAGAAACCAAAGCAACCAGCTCCAGAACAACCTCAACAACAGCAACAACAAATTACAAATAATGAGTTGACTGATGAACAAAAGCAGAATGTTGAAGAAGCAATAAATGAGTTACAACAACCACAACCACAAGAGATTGCTGAATTCTTTGCACAAGGTTTCTCTCCTGCTCCTGTTTTCGCTGATGATACAATCAAAGTTATCGCAATTTGCGGACAAGGAAAGATCTTAGTTGCTGTAATGAATGCAACTGATTATCCAATTGGAGAATGCAAGATTTCAATTGATGGACCGGATGTTTTGAACAAAGATGTTGTTTCTCATCCAGCAAATATCAATTGCATCCCTCAACAAAACGCTGTTACTTTGTTGACATCGTTCTCTTTCCCCAAGCAGATGAAGGGATTCCCACAGTTCAAGTTCACAGCAAATATCGTTTACAATGGAAAGACAGTTAATGTCAATTTGCCAGCGAATTTGTTGACATTCATTGTCCCTCAGACAGCAACAACGAACGAGTTTGGAGCTGCTTGGAAGTCAGGAGGCAGTGAATTAGTCCTTTCTCTCCAGAAGAAGGATGGAATGACATTGGATGATATCTCCGCCGCATTGAACAATTTGGCACACGTCAAGACTGTTCAAAGAATTGGTCAAGAAGAGATTTTCATGGGTTTGTTAGTTTCAACACCATTCAAGGTTCTCATTCACGTGAAATTCGGTGCTCAGAAAGTTGATGTAAAGATCCTTTCAAAGGCACAGCCGCTCACAGCTTCAGTTCTTAATGACCTTAAGAACATTTTTGCATGAATTTAATTCATATTTAACCAATTTATTATAAATTTTTTTATATTTTTTTGGTATCTAATGATTCATTACTTTTGATTTCAAACGAACTTTTGAGCGATTTTATGAGTTTGTTGCAATTGATAAATTATTCAATAAATAGAGATGATATTTAAAGAAGTTTATCACCAAATAAAGTATCAAATACATACGCGAATAGCCATAGCAATTAAAATCTTAACCAGCAATTTGAGAGAATGATAGAAAATGATAAGTGAGACCTGCAAAACAAAAAAAAAGTTAGTCATTCTTATTTAAATCAACATAATATGGTGATCGAAGAATTGCATTTCTGGATTCGACTGCCTTCTTTTTTATAAAAGAATGGATTTTATGATTAATAGACCGTTTCCAACTAGTTAAATAAGTGCCAACTGTGGACAGTTCAGAGGAAAATGCATTAAAAATTTTGCTTGTTGTTGATTTCGAGCGTTTTTCAAATCTTTCAACAGTATTGATGAATATAAATAAGGAGTCTGCATTCATAAGGGACCATGAATCGCCAAGTGCAAAAAATTTAAATGAATATGTCATAAAATCATTAAGTTTTGATAGTGAAAGATCTTGTGGTTCAGTTGTCTCGAAAGTTTCATAAGTATTTGATGGAAAAATCCTAATTTTTTTGATATGTGTAACATATAATTCTTTGAGGATGATTAGTTGAGAATAATATAGTTCTCTAACATCCGTACTCCATGAATATTTGTCATACGGTAATGAGAACAAAAGAGATATCAATGATTTTTCAAATGCGGTATTAATTAAGGCGACATCATCAATTTTATCAGTCAATGTGTTCTCATTTATTGCCATGGTATTAAGAACGGTATGTTGTTTTTTATTATCTACATTTTTTCTGTTATGAGCTGTGAATCTGTAGTTCTTCTTGCTAGGAGTCATAAAAATGATTAATTTGAAAACTCATTCAAATTTGATGCATTTATTCTTTTATGCTATCGAGTGTCCCTTCCAATTGGTTTTAATGTACAAATGACCGTTTACTATAAATAAACCTTTTTTGGCAAAGTTCAAAATTAACGATACGAATCAAACTTTGTATTCGTAAATTTCATTGTAATTCTATTCATATATAAGATTTATTCTAATATCTCAATGTCATTGATGTCTTTCAAAACTCATGAAATTTCAATATCCAAGATGAAAGTGAAATTTGGAATATCGTCTAGATTGGAAATAACTCTTTCGAAAAATGATGAAAGAAGATGATTGATTCTATATAATATGCCGCAATCTTCAATATTGAATTATTTATATCAAACTCAAAACAATAATTACTTAGTCATAAAAATGACAATTTCAATATAGAATACTATCATCAGAATTCATCATTTGCATCACAAAAAAAGATAAAAAGCTATCTATGAATAAATATTTTAATTCGATGAAGAATATTAATAGTAAGGTATTTTTATTGTTGGGAAGTCTCGTGAATGTATTTTTCACTTATGACATCCTGAAAAGTGTCATAAATTAATTTCCAAGCCGAAATTCGATGTCCAAGAAACATCATTAACTTGTCCAACTTTAAACGGAGATGGATTTTTAAGGACCGTTCTCAGATCACAGTCTTTAAATTCTAACAATTATTTCCAAATTGATGGAACTCCGGGAAATGAGAATAATACCGATCCTGAAAGGCAAATAGAGAATGCATTTGATGAAATTAACACAACAGGTTACTATTCCCCATATGAAGATCCTCATGTCGAAATTCGATTTAAAGGAATATTTAATTATTCCGGATTAGTTATGCATTTTATCCATAATCCATATGTCACTGCTTTTGATGTTGTTGGATCAAACAATGGAAAAACATATGAATTAATTACATCATATAAAAATCTTAACTTTCCAAATCAACGCGTTTTATTTGAATATCGTCAGCCATCCTTTTATAATAGAATCAGAATTAACTTCATGAATGATAGCTGGGGTTCTATTTCTGGTTCAATGTTTGAATTTGATATTTTTGGGACTTATATAAGATTTTCCTTGACAAGTTGTCCATTCGATACTTGTCAACCTTCTTTTTCTTTTATTTATTATTGTTTGTTTATTCTTTTATAACAGGGTTATTTAACCATGAATAGAAATGAAGTAATAAGATGCGGTATATTTTGGTTTGCCTCTAATTGTGCTTCAATATTTGATGTTCTTATCAGAGATAAAAATTCGGTTTGTTTTTCAACAAAAAGAATGCAGTTTTTGATACTAGAGATAGCAAATCGTCCAGTGTGGTTGAAAACCAAAACACAACATGGACTTATCGAAGGAACATCTAGAATAGAATTTTTAAAAGAGAGTGATGCAGCTCGTGGGGATTTATGTATTTTGCCTGGCATGAATGAGACTTAATCGATTATAATTGTGATTTTGTGCCGAAATAAGTTTTGAATCGGCTGAAAATATAGGAATTGTACGCATTGATTTTTTGACCTTTGCTTGATATTAATATTCTGTTGCTCTTTTAAGTTGAAAAAGACCTTATTATTATAAGCTTTAAAATAAACTTATTCATATATGCGGTATTTTAAAGGTTAAGAGGAGGTTCAGATAAGTATGTTATTTAAGCATTTAAGTACTTTCTAAATTTGCTAAAATTGAGAGGATCGGTTATTGGTAAAGTGCACCTATTTTTTCCTTTTTCTTAAGAATTATCAATCCTAAATTGTCTCATAAACTAATTTTCACAAACTTTGCCTTCTATTCACCTTAGTAGTATATGAGTGCGGGTTTTGTGACTTTTTTTGTTACATCTATATATAGACGATGCATTAAAATATATTTATTTATAAACACATTAAAAAATTAACATTAATTTTAAAATAATTTATTTTTTTATCTTTTATAAAAGAAGCTATATATAGATGATGTCAGATATTCCGCGATTAATTAAACATTGTTTAAATCCTGAATGGGTTAAACTTCAATTTAAAAATGAAGATTGTGAATTATTAAATGAATATGAAAGCCAAAATAAGCTAATGAGGTATAAATATAATGATAAAGAATATTTAATTTCATGGAATCAATGGAGTCATAATCAAAGACCTCATAAACGAGAAGAAGAAATTGAAAATAATGAAATGGAAATCATTGATGACATTAAAGAGGATGGAATTCCTAAATTTTGTAGAAAAACCTTTAGAACTAAGTTAGGAGCATATAAACGTAGAGTATTAAATCCTGAATACATAAAACATTTATTTAAAAAGGAAGACTGTGAATTATTAAACGTTAATGAATATGAAAATGCTAAATCAAAACTGAGATATAAATATATTGGAAGTGATGAAAGATGCAAAGATAAAGATAAAGTTTATACAGTTTCATATAATAACTGGCACACGTTAGGGATAAGAAAACATTTAGGAGATTATGGTAAAAGTTCTGAATTCTTTAAATCTAGTATGTATGAGAGAGTAAAAGAAATTAGAAATAATTATTTTCATGAATGAGAAATAAACTTTAAAAATTCATGTCTTACATTTTTAAAATAATTTATTTTTTAATTCGTAAGAAAATGAGCGTCAAAACTAACAACGTTAAAAAATTAGGATTCACAAATGAGGAAATAAATGATATATTAGAGGAGGCGGGTTATGAAGTTGATAAATATTATTTAAGAAATTGTAAAAAATTCGCAGAGTTTTTAAATGATTTAGATTATGATGGAAAAATGAATAAAGATGATGTTATAAATTTCTTATATCCTACATCTGAAGAAGAAAAACCTAAAGAACCTGATGTTTTCCCTGAATATTATGAAGAACGAATTAAAGATGATGAATATGATGAAATTGAAAGACTGGAAAAAATAAGAGATGAAATAGATGAAAAAATTAAGGAATTAAGAGAAGTTGAAAAATATAATGAGAATGAAGTAGAGGGTTTAATGAATATCCCAGCTTCAGAATCAGAAGTACAGAAATCTCATGAAGAAAGATATAAAAATTATGTCTCAGAATCAACACAAAATTTATTAGATGGTGAAATAAACGAAACACTTTCAGAAGAAGGTACTAAATTTATTCGTAAACATAAGTTACAATTTATTGATAATGAAGAATACCCCTGTATATTACTTTCACCTCCTCTTGATTCTGAAAAATTCAAAAAAGCATTGAAAAATGTAACATATGCAACAAATACGATTAAGAAAGAAGATCATGATATTTACACAAATTATTATTTAAATAAATGCACAGGTGTTGATAAAGTTTTTGAATTATTAGATAAAATATCAAAAGAAACCATTGGAACCTATAAAATTTTGTGTGATTGTGGTTTCATTATTGAAGATACCAATAATGTTTCATATGAAAGAACAGCACCGAAGGAAGACGAAGTGGAAAGGTCTATACCATTCGTTATTAAGAACATAAAAGATATGAAAACTTATAAGCATTATATTTATTCATTTATTTCAGAAAAAATGGAAGCAACCCATAAAACATCATCTCATCATTTTATAGCTATTCATACATTCCTTTTCAAAGTTGTGAAATTAAATAAGACAGGAATTAGATTTAATGTATCAGGGTACGCATTCTTGAGTAAATTAAAATGTATTCGTCACGTCGCAGATGATAAAAATTTATGTGTTCTTAATTCATTTTATGGACTTTAGCCCTGGACTTTAAAAAAAATAAACTTTATTTTTATTTATTTTTTTAATTTTTATTCTTACATAAATGAACAAAAATGGAACAGCTAAAATGAATGATAATCAAATTAAAGCAGAAGGTAGAAGGTTATTTAAACGCTTCTATAACATTCCTGATGGTGTTAATCCTAAAACTCGTAGAAGCTATTTAAATGAAGCAATAGATGCATATGAAGGGTTTGACATTTCATCAGAAAGTGAGAGGTTAGCAAGAATGTTAAACGTTAATATTGATTTTTATTATTGTGACCCTCAACCAGAAGACGTAGACATTAACAAGGTAGACTTTCCATTAGTGGAATCAATAATGATAGATCCAGAATTTGAAACAGTAAATATTTTATTAACACAGAGTCCATGTGGAAAACTTCACGCTGACAGAATAACAGACGTTGAAGCACTCACCGGCTATAAAGTTTGCCCCTTTTGCAAAGAAGAAGTATATTCTATCCGTGATGATCCAGAAAGGAAAAACCAAAGAAGATTTTTAAAACATTGTGAGAAATGTAAAGAAAATAATGGAAGATTAATTCAAGACGTTCAATTGCAAAACACACAACAACCATATGCACCACATATCACGAAACAGAAGATATATCAATGGCTATTAGCACATAATTTGCAAGAATATTATAAACCAACAAGATATTATATTACTTTTGACTTCGAAACATTAGAGACTAAAGAAGAATTACAACTTTCTGAGTGTGCAACTTTGAACGCTTACTTAAAACCATTCATGGTATCATCAACTGTCAAAATAAAGCCGCAAAGCGGCGAGGTCGTAGACCATGATAAAACATATACGAGGAATTTTTGCTTAACATCAAGTGATTCGTTCATCTCTGATTGGATTGAGTTTTTATTTTCAACCTGTTCATTAGTTGCTAAATCAAATATTGAACAATATGAAGAATTAATGAAGTCACAAACATTAAATGAAAAACAGAAGGAAGTATTTAAAGAACTTCTAGATGAGGAATTCAATAAAGTGAATATCATAGGTTTTAATTCGGGAAAGTTTGATTTAAATTTAATTCTTCGTGATTTAAACACTGCAAAATGGAAAATAAAATCAATGCTGGGTTCATCTTCAATTTAAGCAAATCATTGTAAAGAAAACAAACGTTCCATATGAATTGAGATTTATTGACATCAGAAATTATATAGCGGGTGGGACATTAGACCAATTCACTCAAGATTTCGGAAACAA